AAAAAAAAAAAAAAAAAAAAAAAAAAAAAAAAAAAAAATATATTTTTAAAAATATAATTAAATTTTGATATTTCGAAATAAATATTAATAAAAAAATACTCCAAAACTAATGTTACGTCACAGTAAACAACTCAGATAAAAGCAAACAAACAAAACAAAAGAGTAAGTGACGCTGCAACAAAATTAAACAGCAGTGTCCTACTTGTCAAGTGGAAATGACTCAAACAGTGTAAAAGGCAGCAGAGTGGAATGATGCTTTATTCCCCCTCACACATTGTTATTCTATCAGCTGTTAAAAAATTCAACAAACACAAGTTACAGTGAGAAAATTGGATTGAGATAAGTTATGGGCTCATAGAAAAGACAGTTCAGTGAACTGGCTGCACAGACAGTCCTTCCTCTAACGGTTTATGAATCACACGTGAAACATTCACGACCCACTCAGACACAGCTTCGAGTGGGACCAACAGAGGCGGAGCACAACTCAGCTGGGTTGAAGTGGAGCGTGATGCATTAAAAGCGTGTGGGATATTTCCACTGTGTCATTTACTATAATGAATTAAGTCATTATAGCAATTTAGCAATCTTTGTGGTTAACTATTTTTAAAAACTAACTACAAAGTTACTGTGTATCATCATCAACATTACCCCGGTAATAAATCTGGTTTTAGTCTGTTTTAAATCTGTAATCTGTTTTTTTTTTACATTCTTAAGACAAATATTCGTATGCCCTAGATTAAAGCAAAGATGTGTGGATCCGTTTAACTTTGTTTTATTTCCCCCAAACTCACCAAGTTTTCTCTATGTGAGAGAGTCTTGTCTCAAAAAGCTGTGTGCACTGCAAAGGATTCTGGGTAGTCTTGTGGGAATTCTGTGTGCAATATTTCTGACAGTTTACAAAGTTTCTGAGTGTGTAAATAGGTTCCTGTTCAGGTTTGGTTTGGCATCATGCTTAAGTCTGTTACTGGCTGTAAACTGACACCATGAGCCAGAGATTGTTCCTGGCATATAAATGTCAGTATTTGTTTTACAGTAGTCTATTGACATTGATTTCCGTTATTGCTGTCTGTTTTTTATATGTTCTGTCTGGAACAGGTCCCTCTTGTAAATGAGGCCTTATGGCTTAATAAGACTAGGCTGTATAAAAAAAAGTTGAATGGAAAAAAAACCAGGAAAACATTTTGAAGTAGAGGTATGCAATACAGCAAAATTTGATATCGATCCAATACCAAGTAAATACAGGTCCAGTATGGTTGAATTTTGATGACGTTTAAGTGTTTTGTGATTTTTCTTTTGGATCATTCTTCCACGTGATTTTTTATGCGCTTGTATAAATTTGTTGTGTTACCACTGTATCTTACAGCCTTTTTACAAATTAAACAGCTTGCCGTTGTTTCATTTTCAGCCTGAAAATATAGCCACATAGCGCTCCTCTTCCTCTCTTGTCATTTCTCTGCTCCGTCTCGGCGCTGCTGCTGGGTCGGGCCTGCTTGCTTGTCTGGTGCCGCTGAGTCACGTGATGGTGTAACATCAAAACACTGTGGGTAGGGGCGAAAACACTGTGGGTAGGGGCGGAGCGAAGTTGCCTGCTCTGTGCTGTGACAGGAGTGGCACTTACACAGTCGCCTCGCATCTTTGATGAAACCGCAGCAGTGCATGTCACAGGAGAGAAATTGAAGCTAATGTATCAATCTCATTACACTGGTATTGATCAGTGTCAATGTTGCTATCGATATTATCAATATTTGATCGATCCCCCCACCACTACTTGAAAGGCTTGAGAGATGGCTCTCTGAAGGGAGCCAGATCTTGACAATCCATTTGTATCATAGAGCCATTCATTTTTGACTGAGTGACATCATTATGCATGATTATACGTCATCACGTATGGCGTACTTGATGACGAACACCTGTCGCAAGAGCTGTGCCACATGCTTGTCAAGCATAACTTCTCCTCCTTTTCTAACCTGCTTCATTCCTCCCTTTTGCCTATTCTTTGTCTCATTGAAAAGGTGAAGGAGGAGCTGTCTGCTTGAGAAGGAAAATATTAAAGATAGACATGGTTCTTTACTGTCTCAACTCGGTTCTTATCGTTCGTTGTAGAGAGCTGTTCAAGATCCAAATCATGTGCAAACGTCACATTCCCTCTTACTTAAGGGTGATATCACAGCTTAGTTTAGTATAGCATTGTTTCATGGCAGTCAACATTTCACTTATGCTTTTGAGGGGAGTCTTCCAAAAGTGTACGTTCTGTACGCTTGTGAAAATGTTGACATTTTTAATTCATTCAGTTTCATTTAGTTGTACATGTTAGTTCCATTGAGTCACGAGGAATCATTTACAAGAGAGACCTGTTTTAAACAAAGAAACTTGAGAACGAGACCTAAATGAAAACCACACACCACAGGACAGAGCAGAGCTGTGCAGATAATGCAACTTGTTTGTGACAAACAATGTAGCAGGTAATAAGTATTTCAACCAAAGTTTTTTTTTTATTATGTAGGCTGTGGAAGCTGAGAATTTAACCCACTCATGATGAATAGATGACTCGAGTTACAGCCGGTTATAAATACTGCCTTACAGAGTTAATGATGGTGCATGTCCACAGTAAATATCTGAATATAAAGCTAAGAAGTCATCTGTTCAGCTATATAAATCTGGAGTAAAAGTTCAATATGCACACATAGCTGTTTATTACATATGCATATACTGTGAACCTTCTGTTCGCTGCATTTATCCGACAATCACTGTTTCATAACTCTGAACGTTTAATCTCAAATGTAAAAAAAATACTAAAAGATACAATAGGTATAAACTTACAAAACTCTCAGTTACTTCTTTTTGATCACAAAATAGATTAAAAAGGATCTTTTGTTAACAAAAACATCATAAAAACATTTAATTGTTTCAACATCGACACAAAATCTTTACTTCAATCAACACACCCACAAACATTTATTTATTGATCAATCATTTACTTTCAAGATTGCTTTCTTAAATGTTCATGGCTTCAGATATGGGCCTGTGGGTTCTGACTTCAACACCTCTTTTCATCCACCTAACTTAGTAAGTTATGACAAATACTCATGAAGAAGGTTATCATAGTCATTTGACTGATTTTGATGTACTAATTGTTACCAAATTATTTGTTAATATATTAAAAATTACCTACTTCTTAACAGTTAATTTATCTTCAGGTTGTTTTCTGTTGGATTCTACTTAAAAAAAAAAAGATTTATACTTTAATTGGCACTTTTTAGCTTAAAATGTTAGTCTAACTTTAACTTAGAATTAGCTACTTATAGCTTTGTATTATTATTTTTGCTCTTTGCTTTTCTACCCAAAACTTTTATTATCCTGATTATGAAATGTTAGCACTTACTGATAAGGAACCCAGAGAGAACACAAGTTTTTAACCCCAGATGTCCCTAAGGCGAGTCTATTATTAAACACAACCCGTTTCCAAGTTTAGATGGTGACAAACAGAAGGTCACATTCTGGTGAGAGGCTGCTGGGACTAAAATGGACAGAGCATTTGTTGTGTGCCTCATATCTGATGCATCGAAATGTTAGCTCTCACCCTCTGACTCGGTGTTACTAGATATAGTTTTTTAAATCTCTTGGGAAGTTTTTATTTTAAATTTAAACCCTGATTGGGTGAAGGGAGAGGAAAGACATATGTACTTTAAAATATAGTTTGGGTATTTTTACATATGAATTGTCTTTGTGTGTTGGTACATTTTTGTTTTACATCCTTAATCCTTAGTTATTTGTAGCAAATACTACTTCTTTTAGTTTTTGCGTAAGGTTCTGTGAATGCAAATGGCTCTGTAAATGTATTTGTTTAGAATAAAAATGTTGCTTTTGCCTAATGCCTTTTCTATCACCATACCACACCATACAGCTCACAGACAAGAGAGCAGTTTGTCACTGCTGGTTTCATGTGA